TGGGGGGGTTTCCGGTAGAATTTTCGTTTATATCAATATGTTAAAATGTTTTTTTTTTGTTTATTGTGTGTGTACTGACATTGTCTGTCACGGTTTTGGATTTGCTAATTGTTGGCTTGTATCATGTGTATGTTGTTTTTAAATAAAATAATAAAAAAAAAAAAAAAAAATCCACTCTCCAAGCCTCACTCCCCTCCACGTACCTCACCCCTGCATCCTGTAAAACATTGCGTAACGACCGTAACACACAACCCGCCCCCCTTGGCTCCACGTCCCTCCCCCTTATAACACAGTTCCAGTCCCCCCCAATTACAGTGACTAGAGGTAAACCCCTTAAAAAATACACTAAAACGTCTCTCACAAAATCCTCTTTTACTTTGATTATTTTCTCCGCTGGCATATAAACTCCAATGAAACATACTCGAGATGTACCCCACTCACCATCCACCCTCACTACCCTCCCCCCCCCTTCTTCCCACTTATAATACGTAAGGGACTATTTTCCTTCACAGCCACTGCCACTCCCCTTTTAACCAACAGACCCACTTACATACAATTTATAACCCTTTAATGCCAAAGCACAGCCTATCTTATAATTATGTTCTTGTATAAAGCATACATCCACATTATATCTCCTCAAAAACCATTCCATCCATACTCGTTTCACTTCATTCTTCAATCCATTTACATTTACAGTTACTATCGTGAATTATTTTAATAGTGGTGGTTTACCCTTTTTTCTTGGCACACACCCTCCTATACCTTCCTGCTGTATGGCATCTTTCTTGACAGCTTGCTTATTCACCCCCCTATCCCTTCATTATCCCTAGAACCATTGAACCCTACATTACCCCGTCCCTCTTTCCCCTTATGACATACATCCTTTCTCGAAGATTTTACTCCTGTTCTTTGTCCTGGAGTAAGAACATCGTCCATCTCAGACGTTCCTGCAGTTTTTCTTACGAGAACTCCCCTCCCCACACACCTCGTCACCTGTCTTTTTCCGCCTATGGACCTCTGCCACAACGTTGTGCACATTAACATTAGTGCACACAGTATTCAAAACCTCCTGATCTTGCTGCACCGTTGCCTGCACCAGGTTACACCCTTCATCCACCTGTCCCTCTTCAACGTCATGCAAAAAGGAACTAAGTACTTCCTCCAGCAAGCCATCCTGTTGGCCCGTACCCTCCTCATCAGACTCGATGTCGTCTGTCCCTTATCAACTGTTATTGTTACACTTTCCTCCATGGCCGCCTCAGCCCTATCCACTTCGTCACTCCATCGGCAAGGAATCTTATTTGGCCTTACTCCTTCCTCCGACACCTCCAGAGCATTCCTCTGTTGTAAGATCACTGGTACCTGATCCCTCCGTCCAGCTTTTTATAGCATGGGCCGCCATAATGTTCAAAAGAACCACATAATCTGCAAGTCTTCCGCTGTCCTGAGTAGTACACGTAGACCTGCGTTCGAAAGACCTCCATAAATACGTATGATGGAATTGGCTGCCTCAACGTCATTTTCAGCGTAAATGATCCTTCAGGTAGCCCCTCATAAGGTCCATTTTGCCACACCCCCATCACTGCTGAGTGGATTTTCCCATAGCTGCTAAACACCGCCGTCACATCATGCTCCGTCGCCTCAAAAGGCACGTTTCGTACTTTCACCCACGTCACATAGCTGGACACATCATGTAAGCAGACTTCCACCATAGTGTTCACTGCCAGCCTCTTCTCTTGATATTTGTTGACTATGCTTGTGTAGAATCCTGCGTCTTTAAACTTGATGAAAATTCTCGACACACCATTTACTGCTACTCCATATAATTCTTCGGTCGGTATTCCATATACCTCACTGATGATGGCATGCAGTAACACGTGCATGGTTGTTCCTGTAAGCGTGCCACGCACCAATTCCACACAAACAGTGCTCACCCGGCGTCCAATGCGATCCGCCATGTTGTATGCACAAAACAGGAAAACTGCGCAGTAAACCAGTTGTATCAGGAGCTAGCAGCCTGTCCGCACGGCACAATAGCGATGCGAACAATCACACTTGAGAGTTACTTTAATGTGGTGACCTCCTCCTGTGAGTTACTATAATGTTTTGACCTTCACTTTTGAGTTACTATAATGTGGTGACCTACACTTGTGGGTAAATATAATGTGGTGACCTACACTTGTGAGTTACTTTAATGAGGTGACCTACACTTGTGAGTTACTTTAACGTGGTGACGTACACTTGTGAGATACTTTAAAGTGGTGACCTATGCTTGTGAGTTACCTTAATGTGGTGACCTTCATTGTGAGTTACTTTAATGTTGTGACCTACACTTGAGAGCTACTATAATGTTGTGACTTACACTTGTGAGTTACTTTAATGTGGTGACCTACACTTGTGAGTTACTTTAATGTGGTGACCTACACTTGAGCGTTATTTTAACATTTTAACCTACACTTGTGAGTTACTGTAATGTTGTGACCTTCACTTGTGAGTTACTATAATGTAGTGACCTGTACTTGTGAGTTACAATAATGTGGTGACCTACAATTGTGAGTTACTTTAATATGGTGACCTACACTTGTGAATTACTTTAATGTGGTGACCTGCTCTTGTGAGTTACTTTAATGTGGTGACCTACACTTGTGAGTTTCTATAATGTGGTGACCTACACTTATGATTTACTTTAATATGGTGACTTACACTTGTGAGTTTCTTTAATGTGGTAACCTACGCTTGTGAGTTACTATACTGTGGTGACCTACACTTGACAGCGACTTTAATGTGGCGACCTACACTTGTGAGTTGCTATAATGTGGTGACCCGCACTTGTGAGTTACTATAATGTGACCTACACTTGATTTTATTTATATTGAGGTTACCTACACATGTGAGTTACTATAATGTGGTGACCTACACTTGTGAGTTACCATGTTGTGGTGACCTACGCTTGTGAGTTGCTATAATGTGGTGACCTACACTTCTGAGTTACTTTAATGTGGTGACCTACACTTGTCAGTTACTATAATGTTGTGACCTACACTTTTCAGATACTATAATGTGGTGACATACACTTGTGAGTTACTTTAATGTGGTGACCTACACTTGTGAGTTACTTTAATGTGGTGACCTACACTTGTGACTTACTTTAATGTGGTGACCTACACTTGTGAGTTATTTTAAAATGTGGTGACCTACACTTATGAATTATTTAAAGTGGTGACCTTCACTTGTGAGTTACTTTAATGTTGTGACCTACACTAGTGTG